AATATGCTGCTTCCCATTGGCTATCTGCTTTAATTCTAACAGAAAAAAAACACTATTGATAACAGTATGGGTTGTTTGGAGTGGTTAGAAAAATGTCCTCTCCAAATTACAACAGTAAATGAATCACTGTTTTTCTACATATGATTTCTACTCTGTGCTCTTTCTGTGTTCCTAATCGTTCTCCTCCTCCAAACCTGGCCTCCAAAAACTCAGTAATTAAAGGGAGATTGTGTTCTAAAAGGCAGTTACTCAAAATTAGCTGGTCTTTTCTACCATAAGGCACAGTTCCATAAAAATCCTCCAAAATAATGATCTATATCTGAGAGGATGAATTGATCTCATTTCTCCTTTCCCTTCACTTGTGATCATCAACTGCACAAAACACAGGCATTTCCACCAGCAGTGGCACAGCCCAAGCTCCACTTCCCTGTAACACAGTTATGTTTATCTGAGCAAATTCAATTTAAAATCTGACTGAATCAGAAGGACAGGGTGACTTTAAATTCTGGCTGTGAGAATGGAAATGGTAAGACAAGATCCAAGATAAGAATAAGAGGGGAAAAAAGGCAGACATAGAGGAGCTCAATTCATTCTTGACTTTTCAAAAAGAAACATGACAAAGGGGAGTTGCTGTGTTGAGAAATTCTCATAGAGAAGCTGTTTCCTTGTTTATGTGACTGGCCCAGCCCTTCCTGTGTGGCACTGAATGGCTTTCTCTCCCTAACACTTCATGCCATCACTGGGATGCAAACCAGAATATGCCTTGGAACTCCTGGAACAGAGGAAAAACTGGTCTACTATGGATCTAGATTGTAATAAAATTTTCCTAAGAGGTATTCTTTCTTTTAGAACTCCATTAAACAAATAGCAATGGCCAAGCCCTCTCTCACACTTGATGAAAAACATAAGTTTTGCACTTCTTAAATATCTACCACTTGCTTCATGTCTTGAAACAACAGCCCTTACAGTATTTTCTTTTCCTAAGAATTTTTTATTTTAAGTTATTTTGAATTCATTTAATCTTTTTTCCATCGCAGTCATTGAGGAGAAACTTCCAGGTCAGTATGAAGTGGATTCCTGGTCTCTCATTGACACCTGAACAAGGAAGGAAGAAATGGAAAGATATCAAGGAGAACTTTCTGTGAGAGGGAAGGAAGAACAAGTTTCCAGTGTGTTCCACTTCCCTGATAACAAGTTGGCTGAAGAATCATCTATGTATGAACTAGCAGAGCACACGAGTGGCAAGGACACAGGGATGTGGGTGAGGGGAAGTATCAACCCTTGGGTTTACAGGAGGGGAGAAGACTAACTATGAAAATTGTGTTTCCCTTATGGTTGGCAAAAAATATCAAGCATATCTGAACCCTTAAGCTTTCAACTACTTTGGGGGAAGCCACCTGATTTCAACTCCCAAGGAGGTACCTGTGCTAAATTTTGATGAAGGAGGACATATAAAAAGTGCATTTCCAAAATTATTAAATACACTAGCACTGCTAATTGGCAGTATTTTGCTCTGCTTTGCTAAATTATGCTGATAGTTGCAGTGGTATAAATCTAGACTAATGCCTTGGGTTACATCAGAGCTCTACTGTATTTATCTAGTTGTCAGGAAGAATATTTTCACTCCTAAGAGTGGACACTTCAGGGAGATATTTGGAAAACAAGTGGAATACTGAAATGGCCTCACTGGCTCAGCCTTGTCCCTTAGTTTTCAGATACATTGATCTCAGTATAAAGACTCACAAATCTCTAGTACTCCCTATATCCCTCTCTTTCACTGGGAACAATCTGTGGTCAAAACAATCAAAAAAAATTGAGGCATATCTCTAAAACATATGCATAAAAAAGAGAACAACGTGTTAGTATTAAATATTTCCATATTGATAATATTTTTACAGCAACCTCCCACATTTCTACAGAGGGATTAATGTGATTTTCATAGCAGATATTTGAATCTCTAGAAGTCCTCGACTGACATGAACTTAGGGAGTTTTGTACTTCATTTCATGCCATAAAAATATATTTTGCTAAAGTAGTAGTTCTTGAGGCATTTGTAGCTCAGACACAACTAATACACATCTTGGTGGTATCTTTCAAGAGTAAAAACTGTAGGAAGCTCATTAAAAGAGAGATCCAACAGAGTTTAAATACCACAGTGATCCCTGGAGATTTTTTTTCCACCACGAAGTAATTTCCAAGACCTCTTCAAAGACTGAAACATTAGAACTGAAAGAAATTACAATAATCGATGAAATCCCGTTTAAGTAAAAAGCCTTAAAACATTCCCTTTTGCTGCACTACCACACCGATGACTCCAAAGTTAAGTTCACAGAAGCCTTTCTGTTATAACTTAGATATTTCCTATGCTTTTTAGGTCTCGTAGGAGGACTTTTCAGTGCTTTTTACAGCAGCTTCAGCCTGAAGATTTTTTTTATTGCACTCATCAAATCTACCTTAAAACAATTAAAAGAGCACAGAGTGAGTGCAATGAGTAGACTGAGAGAGCAGGCTGTCTCTCTCTAAAGGGATGTGGCCTCCCTGGGATGCTCTTTTTTTTAATTTTTTTGCTATTCTAAGAGTGTATTTCAGGTAGGGAGCATTCATTTGGACTTCCCTTAACAAACGTGCTTCCAGAGAAGAAAACTCTTCAGTGTTCCTTGATTAATGTTGCTCAGGGGAATACTATTACTGGTCAGATGCTGGGTGAATAAATATTCAAAGTGTTAATTTTAAATGGGTAAAATGCAGTTTGGCTTAAGGCACAAAGTATTCTCCTGGAATGTTTGTTACAGATCGACAGCACGATATGAAGGTAGAGCCTAAGGCTATAAACCTGGTGTTTAAGTTTCCATTTATAAATCAATAACCACTGCAAACAAAACAGCCTGCTCGGGTTTGTGAAGGCCACAACTCTTCCTCAGGCACAAGTTTGGTAAAAAATACCAAGAGATGTTTACAAGGTGTGGCTGACACACCCTCCCCAAAGCTCTGGGGTGCTGGGGGTGGGCACAGGGAAGCACAGCCTGTAGAAACCCCAACGGGTGAGCTGAGCTGCTTGGAGGAATGAGGAATGAAATATCCAAACCCTCATATCCTGAGGAATACACAGACTGGGTACAACCTTGCTCTGCCCTTGCCCTGAGCCAACCCAGAGCCAGGTGTCTGCACTGGCACATCCAGCACTGAGGACAGTTCAGATTCACCCAAAGGACTCAGGTGGGGAGGGCAGAACGAAGGAAGAGCTCTCTAATGTCACCTTCAGAAGGTGAGTTCAGAGAGCATCCAGAAATTTCTGTCCTGAGAGCATCCCTGTGTTTATTCCAAAGTGGAGTAGCTGGATGCTGAACCAGTAACTCAGCTGAGATGACTAAAGCTGGGATGCACCTTCCAGGTCCTCAGAGCCCAGCCCTGCCTGCCCACTGCTTACCAGCTATCACCTCACCTCACCTCAGAGCCCTGTTTCCAACCTCAGTTTGTTCTCATAGTGTGTACATGAGCCCTGACATGCTGCAGAACACAATTCCACATGGATAATTACTACCTATTGTTTCAGAAGAGCCAAGCTATTTTTCTTTTCCAAACTGTGGAAATCACACTCATTCTCCTCCACACACACAACTCTCTTTTGTTTGTCTCTTAACTTGCTGTGCTTGGCCTCTGGCCAGAGTTCCTCTCTCTGTCCTGATGGAGAGTGACAGCTTGCCTTTGAAGGAAGGCCAAGGCTGCTGTTGGGCTGACCAGCAGGGAGCAATCCAGCCCAACCCTCCCTGGTCTCTCCCAGATTGCTCCCCTTCTTTCCCAGAAATGCAGTCTCTGAAAAGGCAGAGGTTGAGCCCATCACATTTCCCAGAAGAGGTTTTTAAGCAACACATGAACTTTAATCACACACAGAGAACACTGAAGCTGGAAGAGACATCAGACGATCATCTGGACCATTCTCTTGCCCTGAGGCACATCCAGCTGTACCTGCACTGCTGGCAGGTATTTGCCTGACTGGTTCCTACTGGCTTCCAGTCACAGCCAGTCCCTTTTCTGCAGGCAGTCCAGTCCAGCACATCACTTACCATCAGAGAGCTTTGGTAAATCTATTCTCTCTTACTTCAATTTAATCCTATCAGTTCTAGTCTGAATATGGGCATGGACAACTCATCCATCACCCTTCACTTCTAACTGGAGTTTAAAATACAGCAAAGCAAATTGTCACTGGTCACTCTGGCCAGAGTGTCTGGAATTTTAGTGTCTACAAAACTCTACCCTTCTCCCTTGACATAGTGCCTTTACCATCAGCAGAGCAACCCTCCAGTACTGACACAGAGAATTGTAGAATATCCTGAGTTGAAAGGGACCCACAAAGATCACAGAGTCCAGCTCCTGGCCCTGCACTCAGAGAGATGACCACAGGTTCACTGGCTTTATTTCCCACAGTGTCTTGTTTCTTTTCTTGTAAGATCTCCCTCTGGCCATGGAACAGCCCTAATCCCACCGACTTCACAGGTTTCATTTGCTCACATGCTAAAACTGCTACACAGTGAAATGCAAAATCTTGTGCAAAACTAAAGCTTGTGCAAAACCAAAAACCTTCCCTGCATGAGACAAAGGCTTTACAGAGAGTCTAATAGTGTATTTCCTGCATTACTATATTTCCTACACACTCATCATAATCTTGGCCTTGGGATGTTGCTCATTTCCTATTGTGACTGATACTCAGTTGGCAAGATGAGAAAAGGTGAAATTCTGATTTTATTTGGCTGTGGTTAGTTTTTTTAAGTAACCACTTGCTGACAGCATTTTTGTCTCTCACACTGGTGACTTGAAAATGGAAAGGTACCTTGGGACATGTTATGCTCTGATAACACATTTAATTGTTTCAGCTTAAGGGGGATAACTGTGAGAATGTTTGACAGGTGCTGAAAGTCTTTCCTTTTTTTACCTTTCAATGTAAATGAAACCACAAGTGTCCCCCTGTAACTGTACCTTGCCAGTCCTACCCTTGCACTTACCCAGTCGAGGGGTTCATGATGCAACCTCCTTTATCAGTAGACGCTTTGCAGTTGCAGCCCCTCTCCAAGGTATCATGATTCATCCCAAAATTGTGCCCCAGTTCATGAGCCAGTGTGACTGCTGCACCCAGAGGGTTTTCAGAGTGATCCTTAAAAAAAAAAACCACAGGAGAACTAGTCAAGTTAACATATAAAACCAATTCAAAATACACATTCCCCCTCTAAGGTCATATTGCTTGTCCTTTGAACTGATTTATAAGCTCAGCTGCAGTTACTCTGTTGTTAAATCAACTCAATTTTAAATTCATCCACATATACCAAGTGCAAACTGGGAATTTCAGGACAACCTCTCTGGCCACCCAGTTTCCCCAGCACAATGGACATTTGAGACCATTGAGCAGCTCTGAACATCTGGGTTGCCTCTTTCTTAGGGCTTAAAATTCCCTGTTCAATAAATCCCCCAAACTCCCAAGACATGTAGTGTTATAAAGGATAATCATTTGTGGGTGAGGATGAGTGTGATGAGTGAGAAGATCCTTCATGTCAGGAGGTAAATTACAAATGCAGCAAGAGATTTCACTCAGTCAATTTAATATTCTTCAATATTAATAAATGTATCAAAAAATTACTTTAATATCAGAATGTCCAAGATTTCACAAGTTTTGAAAGAAAAACCAAGCACCTTTGGAAACCTCCTTATTAAAATGAAAGGCCAAAGCAGGTTAAAATCTTCCATGGCCTCTTATTAAGAATTATGAATAAATATTCTAAATGTTGCAAGTGTCAATTTGAAATATCAACGTTAATCCCTGTTGAAATGCTGATTTTTGGGACAATTGTTTCTGAGATATTCACCTCATGATCTGATTACAGGCTGCTGATCAAACTGATGTTTTGTCTTAACCACTAGAAGACCTTTCCACATTGATCATTTTCCTTGAGGGAAAAAAATCCACCGTACTTGTATGAAAGCTTTCCCTAAAGGCATAAACATGTAATACAAATGCATGATCTGCTATTTATCAGCCAGTAAATGGAATTGCTATGTACAGCTGCCTGCTCTAAAAGCTTGTTTGAATATATTCACTTTAAATAACTCTTTTAGTATCATCTAAGCAAAACTCCAGACTAAAAAGACAGGTAAAACTGTCTGAAATGTTATCTATGTATTAATGCAGGCCTTAATACATGACTTGGGGTAGATTTAAGAGTTTCTTCTTTCATCTGTCTGGGCTAAATTTTTTTTGGTAAATCATTTCTCAAACAGCAAACAAAATGAAAAAGAGGATACAAGAAACTCTTCTTTCTGTATTTGTAGTAAACTCGAAGTTTCTCTTTTTAGTTTCTTCCTGAGTTTTAAAATCTTAATGTAAAATTTTGTAACAGGCTGCAGGCAGTTTGTCCTGCACATGCCTACATATGGAGATGTCTTATCTAGGTACTGCTCAGACACAGATGGATTTATCTTTGTGCACAGTAATTTATGGAGTATTTAGAGAATTCAATGTCGTTGAACCTGATGTCATAAAAAGAGAACAGCTTCTCATTCAACTGCAAAAAAAGTGCATGAAGAAAGATTAAGAAAACAATGAAATAATTCCATATAATTTACTGGTGTACAGTAATCTACATTGGATGATGCCTTGAAATTAAGGTTATCTGATCAAGACAGAAACTCTAAACATTGAGCTACCCAGACAGACAGCAAACTGAGCTCAGATTTTATTTTTCTAGTATCTTCTCTACTTACTGAACAGTGATTATATTTATCTGAATAGTATAAAGCTGGCAATTAAAAATAAAAACAAAAATTCACACAGTCCACTCCAGAAGTAGAGCAAAAAATGATGTGAAATGTAATTTGGGACTTGAAGAGGCAAACAATGATTACAGCCATGAGGTTCTCATTACTTGCTCAGATCCACTTGGAATGCAATTTTATCAGCTTCTAGAGGGGGTGTTTAAAAGAAGGAATGTGATGCCTCAGCAAAAGAGGTTATTTGAAGACAGCATAAATGAAGATTATCAAAACAAACAGTGACATGTCCCATTTGATACTGAGACTGTTTAAGTATCACGAGGACTAAAGAAATGAATAGCAATGTGACTTTGATTTATTCCACCAGGGTCTTTTAAAGTTAACTTGAGCAGTAAAAGTCATTACCAAACAGTTTCACAACCACTGAATATGCAACCATCTACTGTTAAGATATTGTAAACTGTTGCACAAAATATGCAGCTGCTTTCAGCTGAACTCTGCTTCATCCCACCGAGATTCACATCAAATCCTAATAATAAAACACTGTCACCTACAGCTACAACAGGCAAGTACTTTGGTCCTGGCACTTTCCATGCTCACTCAGGTCACAGAGACAAAGAATCACAGAATGGTTTGGGTTGAAAGGGATTTTTTAAAGGTCCTCTTGTTCCAACCCCTGCCATGGGCAGGGACACCTTCCACTAGCCCAGGTTGCTCCAAGCCCCGTCCAACCTGGCCTTGGACACTTCCAGGGATGGGGCAGCCACAGCTTCTCTGGGCAACCTGTGCCAGGGCCTCACCACCCTCACAGGGAAGAATTTTTTCCTAATATTTGATCTAAATCTCCCCTCTATTAATTTAAAACCATCCTCCCTTGTCCTATCACTCAATGCCTACGTTAAAAGTCACTCTATCTTTGTTTTATACAGTAACTCAGAAGTATTTTACTTTTAAATCCATGAATTCAGTAGGCAATCTTTTGAAGCAGAAGAATGATAACTGACTCATGTGTCAAAGACTTGCTTTAATATCAGCTTCTCTTTGGTCTTTCTATGATACTACAGAACCATCACAGTAAAATAAAATTATAATGGTCTTGTTAAAGCTTCTCCCACTTCGATGACTGCCCTCCTCACTTTGAGTTTCTCTTAAAATTAGTGGGAGACCAGGTATCACCTACTGAGAGAATTCAGCCCCACAGAAAAGTAGAGATGGGCAGGCTCTCGAGGAGGCACAGCAGAGGAATTCAGATCATACAGCAGAGCTGACTGACTGCAAAAAGAGTGGGGAAAATCAGATCAGACAACAATGACTCCAGATTTTGCATTCAAATGTCATTTCTGATGCAATCTCTCGTCTCTTCTTTCAGCACAGTTTTTGGAGTGTGGGAGCTGTCGGTGTTGAGTGTTTGGGGTGGGATGGGTAAGAGGTTGGCTGAATTATGAGGTTGGCCAAATGTTCTGTTGTCCAGTGTTGAGACATTTGAGCACCTCAGTTTCCCAGGTTAACAGTTGTTCATTTCTTCATAGACATAGAATCTTTTAGGTTAGAAAAGACCTTTAAGGCCAATGAGTCCAACCATTCCCCCAGCACTACCAAGGCCACCACTAACCCATGTCCCTGAGTGTCACATCCAGGAATGGGGACTCCACCCCTGCCCTGGGCAGCTCTGCCAGGGTTGGACAACCCTTTGGTGAATAATTTTTCCCTAATATCCCTCCTGGAGCAACTTGAGGCTGTTTCCTCTTCATTTGTGTATCTTTCAAATGCCGAGCTCCCTTCTGTAGGTACCAGTATATATAAATGCTTTTTGTACCCAGCTTGATCAGCCTTTGTGAACTCAGGGGGAAGGTTGGACAGCTGCATATTTGGGTTTTGGGGGAGAGTGTTTGCTTGGTTTGGATTTGGCTGAGTTTTGAAGATTTGCTTGAAGAACTGGGAAACATTTCTAGTTATTCTGTGCAAAGCTAAAGTTAATTAGCACCTCAAAAGCTTAAATTCACTGAGATGGGAGTCTCTAGGTAACATCATGCTCCCCTTCATGACCAAATCATGACACTGGGTTTCTCCTAGACATATAAATCAGCCCCTTCTGTCAGAGCCTTGAGAGCACTCTAAAGAAATGCTGATTCTTGTTTTCTTGTTACTGGAGTGAACCATCTGTAATTTTTTCTGTTTCCAGAGTGAAGAGGACTGACCTGGCAGTAAATTACACTGTAGAGTATTTTAAAGTTTATGCTAAAAATTAAAAGGAGAAAAAAAAAATCATCATTAAAGGCATCTCTGCAGATAAAGCCAAAGCAGTGACTGCAGCCCTGAGAGTGAAATGGATAAAATGGGGCTGTCTGCCTCTTATATGGCTTTACCAAGACTTGGAAGTGCCCTGGGAGACCTTTCTTTTTTAATTCCTGTTTTCTTCTTTTTCCTTTTTTACCTGTCACCCAGGTACCCAGTGAATAACTGCTACAAACACCAATTAGAGACTCAGCTTTCAAAGCCACCAAGAGCCTGAAACCTTTGGCTCTTCTACAATTTTGATATGACTTTTTGAATTACATGATTTATTTCCAACTCCCCTATACCTCAGCCTCCCTGCTGAACTTGGAAATTCTCCCTATCATCTCCCTGGGTGCCAGTTAAGAAGGAAGGAAATGCAGGAGCTTCAAGGGATGGTATCTCTGGGATTACCCTGCCAAGTGGATTGTCTTGAGGCAAAAGCCTCAGTGTCCCGGGCTCCAGGTCAGCCCATGAAGCTTTGAAGAACTGGGAGCTTTGGGACCATGCAAATGCCAAATGTTGTGTGTTCCTGAGCTACCACCTCACTTATGGAGGATCTGGAGCTCAGGTGTCCAGCAGAGCTGGAGAGATCCACCACCACATCACCTGAGGTGCTGGAAGTCCCAACAGAGCTGTAGAAAACACAAGGGTTTTCATCAGGTCCAAGCTGAGCTCAGACAGTATCTAGGAGGGGTTTAGGGAGTCCCCATCCCATTTTATTTAAGGTACTTCTATTGTAAATGTTAGTTAATTAAAACTTCTTCCCCCCCGACTTCGCACAACAACCTATTTGAAATGAAAGAAAAATTAAAATTCTGAGAGAAAGTACTCCAGAACTATTCCCAAATATTGGCTAAGGTGTATAATAGTATGTTCATCATGTCTAATCCTCTGACAACAGCATTACCAGTAACAGCCTGCGAGAGACTCAGGTGGAATAAATGCTGTCGTGGTTTGTTCTTGCTGTCTGGCAATGCAATAAAACCACTGCTGCAGAGATGGAAAACAAGGCCTAACACAGGAAACTCTATAAATATAGAATAAAATCAATATAATAAAAGATTCAGGACAGACTGTTGTTGTCTGTAACACAAGTATACCCAAGCGTACAACAAATACATCTTCTGGTTCTTATCCTTCCCAGCACCTCAGCACCTGATTCAATGACAACAGGGAGTATAAGCTCCTTGCAAAGAGGGCATGCTGTATTTCAATGTAATATTTTGATTTTTTTTCACTGTGGAAACTATCATTTACAAGCAATCTGAATGGAGATATGAGCAATACTGAGATTGAAATCAGGGCAGAGGGGGCCGATGTTCGGGTTCGGGATGCAGAACCATAAAACCTGATATGGTGTCACACCAGTTGGGCCAGTTTGGAGTGCTGTGCTTTTCCCACTTACCATGACAACTCCTCCAGACTGCTCTGCAGTGCACATGCTCATGATGGGTGCCATGCCAATGGTGGTCCCTTGGAAGTACACCCCGCTGCAGGAGGGTGGGAGAGGAGAGGAAGAAGCACAGAATCACTATTCAACGCCAAGATACCTCCCTGTTATTTCCAGCCTCGTGTTTCTGCCAATCTCAAACAAAGATCCCATTTCCAGTGTGTCAGCTCCTCACATTTGCAGGTTTAAAACAATAAAAGCTCCCTGAACTGACAACAGCAGCACCCCTGCTACGAGGAACATCCTTTTGATCACTGTCCTTTGGGTTTACTGCTCTAACAGGACCCTTCTTGCCTTTCTCTTTTTCCCCTTTCTGAAGTTGGGAATAGAAATACAAACACAAAAATAACGTCTCCAGCTCAAAGAAGGGTTATTGTAATGCAGTGGGAAGTTTATATGCTACTTGTTTTGATACACAGCCTAGAGTGTAATAATTCCAAACAAAGTATTATTATACATAGAGAGAAATCAAATATCTCAGGAGAGACAGTTTGGAAGAGCTCAATTTATTTTTACACAGCTAATGTAAGAAGTAAAGAATTCCTTTTAATTACTAAGACATCAGGTATTTTCATCTGTTTAATACAAAGAATAGTTAATTGATCAAAATAATACCTGACTGAAGAAAGAGGGTTTTATCTTACTATTTTATTCAGGAGTGCTTTTACTTTCATAGAATCGTAGACTGGTTTGGGTTGGAAGGGACCTTTACTCCTTTACTTTAATTCAGGAACCATCAGCAGGATAAAATATGCGTGTGATTTAATTTCTAAGTCACAAATTCAAATGAAATATCCAATTTAGGCTGCATTTTAATGTTTACTGAGGTCTTTCCACTAAGAAACAGGCTTCACACAGAGGCCTTTTAACTCTACATTTGGGTGAGGGCAATTTTTTCAGTAAAAATTTAGACTGAGTCTAGTTTAAACTGCTTGTAAATTCCTAAGTATTTAGCAGTTTATTACACATCTGCTGTTCTACAGGAGTTGTGCTCAGGACAGGCTTTGAGTGACAGGGTATTGCAGAGCTGGGCAAGGAAATTCATCTGCTGAAGGGCCCTGCACTGCATTTTTGTGTCTGCAGAGGGGAAAGACAAACCCTCAGGATCACAAATGTTCCTTCCAACAGCAGGGAAGGATTGAGCACATCTATTCCCAAATCACCAAAATCCTGATATCAGACACGGTGCCAAGTCTACCTTATGAGCTGGGCATTGTCGTGGGGTTTACGAGGTAGCAGCTTTAGCTTTCTCCAGTCCAGAAACTCATGGAGGCTGGTGAAAGGGTCTTGAGAAATAGAGCACTTATCCATGTCATTCCACACTTCCACTCCGACCAGGGCTACCCGGATATTCAGTGGCCTGTAGAACTAACAGGGAAAGAAAGACAGAAGCATGTCTCTAAAAACCATTGGATTAGAATATTTCAACAGGAACATAATGAACCTTTCTTGTAGAGGTTAAAACAGTGTCTTCTCCAGGGCAAAAGCAAACACCTGACAGGACTTACTCAGACAAAGTATTTCCCTGACTTGCAGAGGGGAGCCAGGCCAACATTAGCAACGGAGCTGAGATAACAATCCTAATGTGAGACTAATGTGGAGAAGGATTCTGGAATCGATCAAGTCCAGATCTGGCTGACAGTCTGAGAAAAACACACACTAGATCTTTGTCTTGTTTCTATGCACTACAGCCATTTGGATAACAGAGGCATTTGTCGAGCAGAAATTAAGCATGAAACAAAGAATGTATTCCAACATGCAAAATTAGTTTTGAGCAGGTAACATATAAACACCTGTCTTCCAGTAATAAGTCAGCCAGACAATTATGGATGAGGTAGAGGTGTCTTCAGCAGCTTGTTTTTAATCAGGAATGCTTCTCCTTGAGCTATTGCCCTTGAAGTATCACTTGATAAGTTCTCAAATAAATTAAGACTCTCTCAGTTATAATTTCACTACTGGACTCCTAATGTTTTCTGGCTGTATGGCCCAACAAAAATAAACTCCAATTTGCTCAAAAACCACTGTACAGGACTCTTAGCCTTTATTGTTAAGAAATGACTTCAGAACAAATAAGAATCTAGTGTATGTCTCTCTTATTGCTCTCAATATGAGCCATCAACTTCTGCTTCCTTAAACACTGCATATTTTTAATTCTCCCATTTTCCCTGGATTCTACATCTTATTAACTGTGTCTTCACAGATCCTTTGCTGGCCTTACAGTTGGACCTTCCCTTGTTGCTGCAAAGGACTTTTTTTTCTCCAAATTCCTCCTTAAAATAATCCTTTTATTTTCTATAGGCTGTTACAGAGGTGATTATCTCCACCCTCCTCCCAGGTGAAAAAAATCCTAGCTCTAAATTATGCCTGTCTTTAGGAACAATGCTTCCACAGATCCATGCATCCCCTTACAGCAGAGCAGAGCTCATGGCTTAGTGTATTCAAGACCACACAAAAGGTTTAAATTTACTCTTTTGATTTGACTGGTTGGAGAGAAACATTGCTCTGAAACACTGGAGTATTAGGAAAGCTGCAGGGTTACCTCCTTGAAAGGGTGAGTGGACAAGGTTGTGAAAGGTGCTGATCTGAGCACAGTGTCTTTCTTAATTTACTACTAGAAGAAACACAGATTTCACAGCAACATCCCTCAGAAAGTGTAGTAAGGTTGGAAAAAGTGAAACAATCCTCATATTCCTACCTTATCAACGTAGTTTGCAATTTCTATCAGCCTCTGCTTGATTTTTTCCACATCCTTGCCTTGCCTCTGAAACTTGGAATGTAAAGGATCAATTTACCAGCAGCACAAATACCACAGTTTCCCCCAACAGCCACCTTACTTTGCCAGCACATCAGGAGCATCAGGGGTGTTTGGGAATTACAGGGTGCAGCCAAAAGCTGTCAGCAGACATACTGGATTCATGGGAACACAGTCTGCCTCAGAAAAAGCACAAGCTATGGGGTAGGACTTTGGATCTCATGAAAAGGTTTTAAAAGCTCTAAATCTTACATAGAGATCTTTTAGGGACTGATGTTTTGGGAAAAACGCTCCCCTCTTAGTGGGTCTCGCAGTAGAGTGGTTGCAATTCCCTGCCTGGCAGTGTTCAAGGACACAAAAAAAAATAACTAAGGAGCAAAATAATTCAAACTAAGATTTAGATCTTTGCCTGCCACTCAGCTCATGGGAACACTTCTACAGCCAATGCCTTTTCCTGGCTTTGAAGCTCTGTGTGCAAACCATCAGGAAGTCAGTCATGTTCCATGAGCTGTGATGGTAAAGTGCTGCTTCAAAAGCACTGACAGCCCCACTGAGGGCAGAGGGAATGGCAGCGAGGACTTAACTTGCTCAAGGAGACCCTGGGCAGTGAATTAATATTTGGCTCTTGTTCAGTACTGACAGATATCCCTGTTATTTGAGAGTCAAATTCCATGAAGTATTACAAGACATTTTACAATTGACTCAGTATTGTCCTGTCTTAATAATTCCTTCCACTGCTTAGCCCTAATTAGGGAAAATTATTTACTTCTGAAAACCATCATATTATTGGCATTGTATTACTTGCAGTACCATGGTAACTGATCTGAGTTAACCATTTCCTACCCATGCTTCCCATAACTATTTATTTTTAAGTTCCTTACCTCCCGATTATCTGCCACAATAACAAGCTCCACATACTTCGTTGTCTTCAGAGTCTCCCTCTTGTACTGTCAAAAAATCATGAAAATTGTATTTTGTTTTCAGCCTCAGTACAACAAAGTGCTTGCAAGAGGAGATACACAACATCTCAGATTTCCAAAGATTTCCCTACGTTTGAATTTGTGTTGTATTCCTTCTCCTCATGGAAGTTTTCCTTACTTACAAAAAACCCCCAGGATTTGATCACAGAAAGCAGCAGAGTGGAGCAAAATCTCTCTCAACCTTTCAGCTTTCTGCAGTTGAAACATTTGAGTTATCTTTCCTCGCAGGAGAATATCACCTCTAGCAGAAAGATCTTTGCTGTTTCCAAGGCACATTTAAAGAAGTGATGAGATAACTTCTAACAAACATTTCATACAGTAGACAAACTGGCTACTAAGAAAAATGAGAGATAAAGGGATATTGAGTGAAGCAGAGAAGAGGTCAAGAGGTCAACTGATAAATTATGTAGGAAGAAAAACCCAAGAATAAAAACTGCAGAAAAAAAGCAGAACCAACTGTCAGTGTCTGGGGAAGAAAATTAATACTCTAAAAATGGAAGGCATACACTGAATTTTGTATCTGCATATTCATATAAAAGAGCTGGTCGTGATACTTGCAGTTTTAAATGCAGGTCTAAAAGAATCACAACGTTCAGCTTAAAAAAAAAAGCAGTGAAGAAAGTGAAATGATTTTGCAATAGTACAAATCATAGCACAGATCCTCTGCCACCCTGAATTTAAGTGACCTATTAATGCCTGTAAAAGTTTTGATTTACAGCAGCTGAGGATCTATTCTGCCATGTGTCTGGAATAAGACAGTTAGTGAAAAGAGGTCTCAGCAGAATATCTGATCTTCGTGCCAGAACTTAAGGGGCTTAAGCAGATGTCTGACCTACTACTGACCATGATGTCTTGAACTAAACCATTGCTCTGTAACCTAAAACATGACTAAAGCTTTCCAAAGAAAACTGTTCCAAGGCAAACTGTGTGATCTCCTAAGCTCAGCCAGTGTTGCACATCGCCTTCCAGCCAAATTTCACAAAGTTTTCTTCACATTATCTTTGTTATCTGCAGATTAATCATTTTGGATGTTTGGCAAGAAACCTCGTGTTTAGAGGAAAGTGAACAATGTGATCTTTGGTAACTGATTTTTAAACTCATATTTAATAGCATTACACAGCCTTCTAACTGCAATAACTGGGAAAGTGTTAAATTCCATTTGGACGGTGTTTATGAACAGAGAGAGAAGTAAAATCTATTGTTAATGAACTAAACATCAAGGATAAAACCCCTTCATAGGATTACACTTATCAGGGGGTCTGTCAGATGAGCTGAGGTAGATGCTCTCAAAACTTCTGGTATTTGGGTTCTCTGTCCCTTTCTCATACTCTGCTGGAGCCCATTGTGACCTCCATGGAGTCACGGTGTGTGCACAGCCTTGGTGCACATGGCCCTGCCTCATCTGCCACACAGGGCAGCAGCAGTGCCTGGTGATGAGCTGGATGGAAACCAGGACACCAAGAAGTCATTCTGTCCCCTCCTGCTGTTCCTGGAACAACAACAGGTGCAGTACAAAGGGCCTGTGTTGTCTCAGAAGACTCCAGCAGAACCTACAGTGCTCTGGCAGAGCTTGATTTCATGGAATCACAGAATGATTTGGGTTGGAAGGGACCCTAAAACCATCCTGTTTCAACCCCCTGCCATGGGCAGGGACACCTTCCACTAGCCCAGGTTGCCCCAAGCCCTGTCCAACCTGGCCTTGGACACTTCCAGGGATGGGGCAGCCACAGCTTCTCTGGGCAACTTGTTCTCTGCAAAATACATCAGACATGAGCGAGATGCCACATAAGGCAAATGACCACGTGGGTGTGGTTTGTGCTGGAATTGATCTCTCAGATACTAAAGTCTAACATTGTCCTGAAATTTATTACAAGAGAGATGTACCCCCAAGGTGCCTCCCACCCTCTTCCAAATGAAGAAGAAAAGGTGACACAGGAAAATCCAAGTACAAATATACAGGAAGAGCTCTGTTACATCAGTCAGTTTAAAACATTTACTTCTTACCAAGAGTAAAACTGTTTGGACTGGAGAGGGTTTGCTGCAGAGAAATTGGCTGGCAGTGTATCATCACATAAGCCTCTGGTAACTGCCTTGCATAACAAGTCTGTTCCTGAGATTTACCCAAAGACTATGTGCATTCCTGGGATACAATATTTATTTATAAAATACACCCAATTATGACCTTTTCCAGCTTGCTCTCTGCAGCCAGCTGCATCAATGCACAGCCCACTGCCTGAGTTAATCCTTCAGGACTAAAATGAAGAGTCAATAATAAAGCCATGACAGATGGACAGATGGGGGGCAATGTGCTTTGTTCCACTGGCTGTCATCTTTCTCCCCTGCTTCTACCACACCTGATTCTACCACAAAACTGCTATCCCATGCAGCTGTAGCCATTCCTCATGCCTCTCTGCCTCAGAATTAGCATGGCTTGGATTCACACTGCAGTGGTGCAGCCTCTCTCTTTCTCTGTGACCCACTTGCCCCAAACAACTCACCTGCCTGACCTGTGTCCACCACCACAAGGTTTTTTGTGGCTACAGAGAAAATTCCATACTGCAGGTGCTGTCCTACACATCGGCCTTGCTTTCTGTAGGATCCTATCTCAGTGGAGCTCAGCTGGAAAACGCTCCCTGCTGCAATTTGAGGGTCCACTGAGTCATGAAATGACCCAGTATTTATAGTGCCCCGGCTCCAACAGGGCAAAACGTGTCTGCAGACATCTGTGCATCACCTGAATTGCTCTGTTGAGGCTCATGTTTGGATCTGGGAAGCTGAGTCTGCTGCGTGTCCCATCATTTATCTGTACTTACATCTAACCCAAAGGTTAGACTAACTCTGTGATACACTGGTCTCACATTTCAGCTCTGCTCAATAAGGATTCAGTGTAGGTAGTTAAGTGAAGAGTGGGGGGAAAGCAGTGAACAAAAACCTCCCCCTGAACTTAAGACTTGATTTCTGCTTAAGTCTGTCACCCAGTGGAATTTGGAGCAGCCTTGTGTCTCCCTATTTTACAGGTCACCTTTATTCAGTGTGTCCTGACAGTTTGCTTAGCTGATGACAACACTGAAATATGAAAACTCGCTTCACACATTACATTTGACAACTTTCAAAATTTCTACATTAGAAATGTATCCAAGACACTCATTATGTATATTGTACCTATCCATATGATGTGACTGTTGACAGGTTTTATAATTATGTCCACTGAACCACAGCAAAAATAGTTTTCAGATATTTAAAGTGAATACTGGGATGTGGTTGAAGCCATCAACAAAATGTGAGAACCATAAGGGTAATAATAAATTGCTTTGACTGTGTCAGTTTGTTATGTGCACACATTTTATTTCAGTGTTGCTTTGATTACTTCAGTGAAATTCAGTCAGAAGTCATGAAGAATTTGTGGAAACTTTAATAAAGTTATGAAAAGTACTTTTCCAATGCTTTCAACCTATAGGTATTTTTAGAAATGCATTTAATTCTTAAAATGGTATATGCAAAGGCTAATACTTTAGATGTAATATTTAATATTCCTAAAATGTCAAATAATTCTACTACACAAATAATATCTAGGGATGTAATTTAGGTTGTTTTCCTTAACAATTGACCAGATGCAGAGACTTAGTCCTACATGCAAGTACAAATCCCCATAGGTGACATTTAATAAATGCTGAGGGCAGATTGGTATCAGTATATAATTCCTGAACCCCTAAAGCAGCCTTTTCTACAATCCTCATCCAATACATAGACAAACTCATTGCAGTATTTTCTCTTCCTGATTTTTAGCTCATTTAATTTTCTGCAGTTTCTATTAGCATTTCACATGAAGTGCACTTCTGCCTACATAAAAGCAACTACAATAATACATCTGTAAAATAATATGGTGAGAATTTGTTTTGTCTGCATAAAAGACTTTCCTACCAGAATGTAGTGTTTCAAAACCTGATATTAGCAAAGCATCACAGCTATCATGTTCTCCTCCACCTTGGGCGGGCAAGAGCTTTTCCAGACACTGCTCAGTATTCTTAGGGGGTCTTAAATTCTGGTTGTAATCATGGAAGAAGCAAAATATATTACCATAATATGGTGAAAATAACATGTTGAAAAGAAAGTAAAAAGCGAGTTATGCATGTAGAATGAGAAAAAGGAATAAAGCTTTAACAAGTAATTTCAAGCCTGCACTTAAGCAGATGACACCGACAGTTGTTGATGTGGGTTCATGGTTTGCTCAACTCTTTGTAACAGAGTTTTGACAGGCAGCAATATGGAAATGCAACCAACCAGACATATAAAAGTGCATCATCCACCTACCCTGCCAGCTTGAGAATGGTGTGATGTGTCATTGTCATCAGTTCTCGGGGCAGAGATGTCCAGCTGGTGGCCGCAGGATCCCGGGGCTATTTTCAGATTCTCTGCTCGGTAGATCCTGTGTTCATTTGTAGCACCTTCTAATGGCTCCAGAATGTAGCTTTTGTTTCCAAACACAATAATTCCCCTGGAACGGAGGAGAGCAGAGTAAGATGCATGGTTTGGAACTACAACAAAGTTACAACAGATTTAATAATGATGGAGCATGAGAAAGCAAAACGCTGATTTACAATGTCATGGTCGAGTGGAGCAGGAAACATCAAAGCTGTGTATTTGTCATTGCAGCACACTATACTTTAAAAGAAGCAATGGCTCACAGAAAATTTGTCTCTTCTGAAGTGCTGCACTGCAGAGTAAAATTATATTTGTGTTTTATTTGTTTTCCACTCTCCCGGTGATGCACTGCCATCGCTGAGGGAGTCACGGAGCCCGTGCTTCTGAGGCCCCGTGGCAAATGGGAATGAACAAAAGCCTGGAGAAATGCCTTTGTAAGGAAAAGTACAGCCTGGAGCCATCCATTGTGGTCTGCAGTGAGCATTACACCTTTAGACCAAGCACTGATGGGAGCATTGGCTCTGCCAGATGAAAGAGGCACTGCGGTGTCAGAACAGTTATTAAATATTGCACAGTGGGGCAGCAGAGGAAAGCTCAGATATATTAACAGTGGATCCCTGTTTAACTCATTTTACTGCCCAAAATAATAATTTTGACAGCAATAGCACCTGGTCTCTGAGGATCTCAGATTTTCCATCAATGAAAAAGCTCTTGCTGCACTACTTTAAGCTGAAAAGAGGAAAGAGGGGTTAGGAAGAGAAACAACGTCCAAGAAAGATGTGGAAGAACTTAGGACATGTAGCAATTCTGGGTTGCATGTGCTGCCTCCTAACCAAAAACCTCTCCCCCTGTATGCTCCAGACAACTCACCAAATAAAAAAAACATTCTTTGGTTCTTGTGCTGGGTCCTGGCCTGTTATTCTAAGATGCTACAGCAAAACAAAGCTGACAAAAGGTTGGATGTATGACAGTGTGAGAGAGTTGGAGCTGTTCAGCCTGGAGAAGAGAAGGCTCCAGGGAGAACTTAGAGCCCCTTCCAGTGCCTAAAGGGGCTCCAAGAGAGCTGGGACAAGGGCCTGGAAGGACAGGACAAGGGGGAATGGTTTCCCACTGCCAGAGGGCAGGGTTAGATGGGATATTGGGAAAGAATTGTTGGCTGTGAGGGTGGTGAGGTCCTTGCACAGGTTGCCCAGAGAAGCTGTGGCTGCCCCATCCCTGGAAGTGTCCAAGGCCAGGTTGGACGGGGTTTGGAGCAACCTGGGCTAGTGGAAGGTGTCCCTGCCCATGGCTGGGGGTGAAACCAGATGATATTTAAGGTCCTTTCCAACCCAAACCATTCTGTGATTCCATGATCTTTCCAATTCTAAGGAAGCTGCTCGTTCAGCCCAGCCCAGCAAACACAGACAGTGTGGGGTGGGAGTCCATGGTCTGCACATGCTGGAATAGGATTTCTGGTACCATATTATACAAAATAGGATCATCTCCAGCAAGACCTCTGGAATGACTAATTGTAACTGCAACTGTAGACCCCAAAGTAAGAAAACTCCTGTACATCAGGACTGGCACAGCATTAGAAGGCATGCAGTAGGTTTGCAGACAAGGTTCAGGTAGAAATTGCTAAGTAAGGAAGGAATTTAACATTCTGTGCCTGACTTGCATCCTGACCCCATTCTACCAACCACACAGGAGGGTCCTACATAATTCCTACGTGAAGCTGGACATCAGGTTTTGTTGGGTACCTGTGTGACTATGGAAAAACACTCTTTAAAAACCATTTCTCTTTACTAAACTATGGATAAACATTTGTTTGTGAGGTAGTGTAAAAATTCATCAATTAGACACTACATTGGACACTACGCTTCATTATTAATTTCCTCCTGTCTTTAAATTATAAAGGTTTTGAACCCTTAATTTGAACCAGTAATTACAATGTAATTGTATCTGGAACTCCATGAACCTTTTAATTGGCCAAGGCATTCTTCCTCAATTCCTGCTCTAAACTGCTCTATACCATCTATATGCTATTAAACAGCAATATTTTTCAGCACAAAACTGGCTGTATTTTATTAGTGTGTCTTTTTAGAAGTTTCTGCCCTTTTTATTTCTGTCTGTGTAGCAACAAAGGTAAGATACTACAACCATTTTGAGACCAATACATGTCGCTGTACAATTCTTCTGCAGAAAGCTAAAAAAAAAAAAAGGCAAAAAAAGAGAAAGAAGAAGGACCCAAAAGCAGGCTAATGACACCATAAAGACTGATTTAAATATAAAAAGCAATATTATTGGGGAAAAGCTGCCTTAGGTATTCTAAGATACGATGAAGAAACTCAAAGTCTTTGGTCTCCTAACCATTAACTGCAATATTCATTCCAAGCTTCACAATCTTGCTACAGAACATCATTGACACCAGTTCAACCAAGCCAACAGACAAGCATTCCACTGTTACTAGAACAGCTAAAAGTCCAAGAGAAAAAAGAAGAGTGAAAAACCATGATATTAAAGCCTGTACAACAGCATTTACTGATGTGAACCAAGGCTCAGGAGCTGATAATTCATTTTTAGCTTCCTTAGCACCCGTGGCAGATCAGGTAAGATATATTCCTCAGCCATCACACAGCAGGCTGTGGGTGATGGATTACAGCTGGAAAAGCAGGACTGATTTATCACGGGGCCTTTGCAGCTCCAGCCAGGATACAAAGAGCATCCATGACATATGAGAGACCTCTGAGCAGGTCACCCCTGATTTGAGTAACCTTACACCCCACACTTCTAAATTATTATCAGACCTGCCGTGTTCCTTGGAGAATTTAGGAAACTAGGACAGTGTATTCCCTTTACTCCAATAACCAGCAACTCTGTAATCAGCCCAATCAAATAAGGATTGCTGTCTTTGCCTTGTGCAATTAATCATTTAATTTTGGAGGCAGCTGGAATGAGCACTGGAGGCAGGAGTCCATTAGTCACTGTTTGAAATGGGCCAGCCCTGTACTGGCAACTCAAAACCAATATAAAACAATGAAGAGTTTTATTTTTAACATTAAACTTATACTTAGAACGTTCCATTTAAAAATTAGAGACTTAAATAATTTTCTTCAGTTAGAAACACACCAGGAAGGGAGAGACTTAGAAGTATTCTTTTACTGGGTAGAGTTCTTTCTATCTTTTTTTTCCCTATTTTAAAGCCAGTATCTTGTTTCCAGGAGTTCATATCCAAAACATGCCACATCAATACCAAATATCTGAAGTATCCCTTGAATACCCAGCTACTGTCTAAAACAACTAAATAACCATTTATTTACCCCTCATTTTCTTTAGTTGAAGAAGATATGGACAAATGATCATATATCAGTAATTAATTTTGGTTTTTATTGAGCATATCAGGCTCAGGGCTGTCTGACTTCCACCCCAAGCATGAGCCTTTAAGGACAGTTCCACCTTTGCATGTGGAGCACTCCCATGGTAAAGAAAATCTGCAGATTAGGCATAAAGGCAAACATACTTTTCATTTGAGGCACACTTATCCCTTGAGTGCTGCCTACAGGATATCAGCACTTGGCTTGTGACCATCTGTAATAAGATAATGAATATCAAATATGAATTTTCTTGGCCAGCTCTCTGGTTTCGACTAATTTTCTTTTCCTACAGTTGCATTTTCCCCCCACTGACCAGTGCCAAGCACAGCACCTTAAGAATGTAACTAGTCAAAAGCTATGGTTTCTTTCTTTCTTTGGTCTGAACCAAAAAAATCTACCAGTCATTCAGTACTAAGAATTTGATGCAAATAAAATAAATCCATAACTACTGTTTCCCTCCACTCTTGTCAGGTGTTTCAAAGAAGCCTCTGTTACTCCTTCACCAGTTCTGTGTCTCCCTCTTGAACAGAGTTCTCCCACATGTCTGAGTCATCCTATAGACCCCGAAGTACAAGATGGTACAACTTTACTATTTTTCAGGAAGTATTATTGTTAAATAATATAAGGTTTTCCAATGTGACAAATAGTCAATATATTAAATTAGAGATCTCCAGCCAAAAATCACACAGGGAAGCCCAAAGGGACTTCAGCAACCCCCCTCAGTGAGGACTCAAGAAGTGGATGGTCCATAAGACCAACTTCTGCTGAAATCTGTGGGATTTCTACCAGTACTTCTACCAGGCAAAAAAACCCTACCAGAATTCCCAAGCTTATGAATATTTGGGGGAAAAAAAAAAGCAACATAAAGTATTCAATTTTTAGTCTTCAGGTGTCTAATTCATGCCATCTGAGTTTTCCCCAATCCCAAATCAAGCTAATGCTGGGAAGTCAGAAAGATCTTGCAAATGAGCTGAGCAGGAAAGAAAGGAGACAATCCAAACCCTATCTAAGCCTATCACTCTGCCTTTTTCATCACTGGTAGCAGAGAGGGAAGAAAAAAATCTCTATCCTATACAGCATGTCCAGACAGTGGTTCACAGGCTCCAAGCCAGCTGGAAGCAGCTCCAGTGTAGTCTTGAGCCTGAGTTAATTTTTTTACTCTACTTCTCAACAGGGTTTGATTTCTGCTCGTGTCTGGGGGTCAACACCAAACCAACCCCATCCACATTGCTGATGGTCAGCCCTGGACGTGGACAACTCCTTGGTCTTTGCCTACTGTACTCCCTTATATGGATGCATGGGGAATGTGTCCATGAGATGGGAGAACTCTCTCCATCTCAAAGAAAGAGAAATTAAAACATAACTTATATAATTAATTTGCTATTAATTGCTATTTAACTTGCCAGGAGTCTCTCAATCAGGGGGAATGCAATTTTAATGGAATAATTCCACTATTTAAACTGTCAATAAAGTCAAATGTGATACTTTTTTTTTTCTCTTAAAGAGGAAAACCAAAACAAAAGCTACAGCAAGACCAGTCATATTTCATAAATCAACAGGCTTTAGGAAATCTCAAAATATAAATGGGATTTTTCTTTTCCAACTTGTCAGCAGAAGCAAAGGCCCTGCCAACATAAACCATCAACACATACTTGTCTGAGAAATTGTGATGCTGAAGTAAAACTTGGCTAAAACAGCATTATATGAGACTATTATATAT